CCTTGAGGCTATCGGTGATGAAGATATTGAAGAAAGTGATGAGCAGCATGAAAGAAGAAGCAGCCAGCCAATGTATCCACAATATGTCGGTGATATTGCACCTAATGAGGGAGAGTGGGAAGGGGGTCTAAGAGAAAATGAGAGAGATGATGATTCTGAGGCCACCCTATCCCAGCCATATTATTCATATATCGAGTCCCAACAGCAACAGTGTAGGGATGAGCACAACAGTGCAGGTGAGCATGAAGGATGGACAAGCTTCGGGGATTTTGGATTGGGAGCACAACAAAACACTAACACTCAGGGATTTGGGAATAGTCAGACGCCCGCTAATATCGATGATTCGTTTTTAAATCGAATCAATGAATTGTCAAACAAATTCAATCAATGGCACCAGCGTGACCAAGAAGAACAACAACGTCGTCTATCATTTTATTTGTAGATCGTATGTTACTAATTTTATGCTTTATTGTAGTCCATGTATGTTGATATACTTATTCCATGATAATTCTATGTTTATCCTTTTGTGTGATGTAAATTAAATGTTGAATGGCGATTCATGCAGGGAAAGAACATATCAATATTCGCATATTCATTCAAAAACATGAAAATTCTTAATGGAGTACCCTCATTTCTTATTGAATTCCTAAAAAACAATATTGATAATGAATTTTAATAATTTTTTCGGATTTTTTTGAAGCTTTATTCTGACCGATTCACCCGATTCCCGATCCGAATCGCCGATTCGCCGATCCGGATCGGTTTTTTGAAAGCCCGATCCGGGTCACCGATTCGGTTTTTAAACCATTGCTCTAACCTATTGAAGGTTGCATATTGGATGTGATTTGCTATTATTGATAAAAAATTAATATTTTAATATTGAAAAGCTATTAGCGAAATTCAATCATAAAAATAAATATTTCATTCCACAGAAACAGAAATTAATATTAATATTCAATCCCACATGAAACCTCCTTGATTTGTTAAAATCTAATCATAAAAATCTTTCATCTTAATATATATTATTTCTTTACCAACTCAATCCCACTTCTTCCATATTATATATTATATCAGATTATTTATGCAGATCAACTCAATCCCACTTCATTTGAGTTAATGATCTCTAGGTTACAGATTACATGTATTTAAAAATTAGGTCTTAGAATCCATCTCAAAAATATATTTATTAAGAGGTTTGCATATTTACATATGTGGGCTTCGCCGCATAGAAACGGGGTCCACAATCTAATTAACATTTGAGGGACTGTTATTCTATTTAGGAACCTCCTAAAAAAAGAATTTTAGAATTTTCTAAATTGCCATTGTTCAAAGTTGGGAAGCTAGAAAAATTACCCTCATTTCTATTGAATTCCTAAAAAACAATATTTATAATGAATTTTAATAATTTTTTCGGATTTTTTTGAAGCTTTAGTCTGACCGATTCACCCGATTCCCGATCCGGATCGCCGATTCGCCGATCCGGATCAATTTTTTGAAAGCCCGATCCGAGTCACCGATTTGGTTTTTAAACCATTGGATTAGAGTAATTTTGGGATTCAATATTAAAATATTAATTTCTTATCGATAGTCAAATATCACAACATTCACTAAGTTAAGAGTTTGGGATTCAATATTAAAATATTAATTCCGATCAATAGTCGCAAATGACATTCAATTCAATATTAAAATATTAGTTTTTGATCAATAGTTGCAAATGACATTCAATATGTAACCTTCAATATTTTAGAGTTTGGGATTAAATATTAAAATATTGACTTTGGGATTCAATATTTTAATTCTGATCAATAGTCGCAAATGACATTCAATATTTAACATTCATTCAATATTTTAGAGTTTTGTTCGAGTTTGCGGTAACATTCAATAGGTTAAGAGTTTGGGATTCAAGGTGAATAGCATTTAATATGTTAAGAGTACGGGATTCAATATTAAATATCAATTTCTGGTCAATAGTCTGCAAATCACATTCAATATGTAACCTTCATTGAATCGTTTGCAAATCACCTTCAATACGTAACATTCATTCATTACTAAAATAAAGGGATACAAATAATCATAATAAAGAATATGAAT